TGTGCTTATGTAAATCCAGTTGAGTCAGTGAGATAGCCTGATGGATGCTCAGTTGTTAGAATGGTATTTTGCCTATTGTAACTAATTTGGCTGTTGTGGGGTCACAAACCATGTTAACCCTAAATGTAGGAATTGTAAAATATGACACCAGTGCTTGCAGGAGAGACACTGTCAATGTAAAGAATCTTGGATGGACAAGCCTTTCCCTTCCAGACTCAAGTGGACTGGATGGGGGAGGGGGAGAAGAGAGCAGAGTAGAGCTTAGCTTTGAACCAGCAGGCTACATGCCCTCCAGGCATGAGCTGTAAGACTGGTTTAACCTGTTTCTCTCCCTGCCCCCCAACCCCTGTTCTAATGATACAATTAAAACAGACTCTAGGGAGGTCTCTGTCATAAACAAGGGTCTCTTTATTTTGTGATGGCCTGCACTGTGGGTAAAGAGCAGAAATCACCAAGGGGCTGAAATCACTAGGTCTGGCCCAGATCCAAACCCACTGGCAACAGGCGGCCAGCAGGGTGGCTGGCAGGTGCAGTGGCGAGTTGCCAACCGAGTGGGTGAGACACTTCCTATCTCAAGGGTGGGAGGTGAGCTTTGAAAATCACCTCTGAGCTCTGGTCTGCCCTGACCAAGGGCAGCAACTGTAAGTGGGGTACAGAGAAAGGTTGGGCATGTGAATGGGACACTTACATTGCTGGACTTGTGAGCCTGAAAGGCAAAGGACATTGCTCAATCCACTTGAGCTGGGACATTTACTCGTGGTTTGGTTATGAACTCTGTTGTGTTGTTTTCCCAAGTTAATGCCATGTTACTTCTCCTCCTTTTTCATTTCTTTTCTATGCTCAGACTCTGTGCTTGCAAGTGGGGAAGCATTGCTTCTCAGAGACCCCCAGGGTTGTGTGTGAAGTTCCAAGGCCACTGGGCAGGGGCTCGAGTCAGTTCTGTGTGGGATAGATGAAAAGGAACTCCTGGATATTGAACCTAGTGCTGGCTGCTGCTGGCGCTACCTTGCAGAAGAGTTACAAGTCCATTATGATACCTCCGTCAGTGGTTATTACCAGAAGGTTTCAAGGAAGGTACAAGAAATCCCTTTTCCAAATCTGAGGTCAAAGAAAGTCTTTTTTCCGTACATAACCCAAATTTATAGTCCAAAGTTGTTCATAAGCTAAGCTATTAAATGTCTATTTAATAAGTTAAAATGTGCCAGACTCTTACAGAGCCTGTTAACATGTAATATTAACGCATGTTTGGTTCTGCACAAGTCTGTAATATTTGAAACCAGAAAGCAAGTATTGTCCAAGCATTGCACAATAAGTCATCTTTAATAATTAACCATGTCCTTCAGTTCAGGAATATTCTAAAAACAAGCATCTATAAGACTCAGACATCTTCCAAAATGTAGAAAATATATGAGCTTGGAACTAGCTATCATGGGAAACAGGAGGTATTAGAATTCCTCGTACAGGTTGTACCTCCTGTAGTCGTGGCTCACTGGAAGTTCCTAGACCACAGAGTTCAGGTATAGGGAGGTCAGGCCATGGGGGATGCGGAGATGCACCTGGGAGCCAGGGTGCAAAGGGGTAGGCGTCGCAGCCAGATGGCAGCGAAGGCCTGGACCCCACAACTGTGGAACTCTGGCTCTGGCTGCAGAGCTTGGGACAGGAGCAGCAGCCACGGAACTCCGGCCCTGGCTGTAGAGCTTGGGGACTGCAGTAGCAGCCATGGAGCTCCGGTAGTGGCAGAGCTCCAGTCCCAGCTGCGGAGCTCCGGCCCCAGCCACGAACTCTGGTCCCGGAGGCAGCCAGGGAGCTCTATCCCTGGCTGCAGAGCTCTGAACTCAATGGCAACCATGGCTGGGCAGGCAGCAGCAGCCAGGCTAGGTTGGAGCCCTCGCTGGGGGCAGCAGGACAAGCACGGGCCATGATGGGAGGGACCTCCCCTGGTCCGGCATTTGGGATCAGTCAGGTACTGAACAAGGGAGGTCCAACCTGTAGCAATTTTACAACAACAATGCAATAATAGCAATAAGAACACAAGAATGGCCATACTGGGTCAGACCAAAGGTCCATCCAGCCCAGCATCCCGTCCACGGACAGTGGCCAGCACCAGGTGTCCCACAGGGGGTGGACTGAAGACAATGATCAAGCGATTTGTCTCCTGCCATCCATCTCCAGCCTTTGAGAAACAGAGATTTTGCCACTCCTTACCCCTGGACAATAGCCCTTTATGGACCCACCTCCATGAACTCAACTAGCTCTCTTTTAAACTCTGTTATAGTTCTAGCCTTCATAGCCTCCTCTGGCAAGGAGTTCCAGAGGCTGACTGTGTGCTGTGTGAAGAAGAACCTTCTATTAGTTTCAAACCTGCTACTCATTAATTTCATTTGGTGTCCTCTAGTTCCTATATTATGGGAACAAGTCAACAACTTTTCTCTACTCACCCTCTCCACACCACTCATGATTTTATTTACCTCTATCATATCCCCTCAGTCGCCTCTTTTCTAAATTGAAAAGTCTCAGTTTCTTTAGCCTCTCCTCGTTTGGGACCCATTCCAAACCCTTAATCATTGTAGCTGCCCTTTTCTGAACCTTTTCTAATGCCAAAATATCTTTTTTGAGGTGATGAGACCACATCTGTATGCAGTATTCAATATAAACTAATATTTACAGTTTCAGAGGGGTAGCCAAATTAGTCTGTAACAGGAAAAACTTAAAAAACAACAAATGGTCTGGTAGCACTTTAAAGACTATCAAAACATGTAGATGGTATCATGCGCTTTCTTGATCATAGCCCACTTCTTCAGATGACCATTTGTTGTTTTTTAAGTTTAACATTTACAGAGCACTTTTCATCCAGAAATATGCCAGAAACATCTCAAACCACACACAAGAATAACTCCATCCTCTCCTGAAATACTGCCTCCAGTGTGTTGTTCAAAAACTGTTTAGTCAGAAGCCAAAAACTAAACAAGTTAGGACACAAAGTCCAGTAGTTCAAAGTCAAAGTATAAATCAGTGCACTTCATATGTATCCTGTTTTATTTATATCCACATTTAAAGATGTAACTGAATATATATACAGATGGTACATGTAGAAAATGTAATTTTCTAAACTGTATAGATGCAATGAACAAGTATTAATGTTAACTTTTAGAAGAATTTTGAAATAAACTAGAATTTAGCCATGGAAGAAAGTCATATTTAAATAATTGTTTTCAGGAGAAACTCCCTACTCACTGGGATCATGATCAGGAATCAATATCTAACAGACCATACTTATCCAGCACAATTCTCTCTTCCCACCCATCATATGCCAGTTTATTAGAAGACAATCAAACTATAGCTCTTAGCACACACGCTGCTTCCAATATTCTTTGTGTCTCAAACTTGATCAGCACAATGTTTTTACACAACAAATGATTTATAAATTAATCTTAACTGTACGCTGGTGGGATTCTCTTTTTAAACTCAAGGAGGTATTAATTTTGAGGGATGGAATGGACTGCTAGCTAATGTGGTGAAGCCAAGCAGCAACAGGAGAGTATGTATTTATGAAAAACAGTGCCTATATAGAAAGTACCATAGATAATAGATATGAAAACAGTTGTGTGAAAAATTTTCTAGGCAATATAGTATCTTTTTCTGCTTGCAGAATGGCTAGAAGCTGATCACCATTTCCTTATATTTATTTGGTATTATAAGTTAGTTATTTTTAAAAAAACACCTTATTTTTAGATTCCTAGCAAACTGATTGCAGTTTGAGAGTATGCAAAATTCATTATTTGATATTTGTTGTTTAATTGCAACTGGTGCAACAGTCACACAGTAAGGCCAGAACAGATTATCTCAAAATCAACAACCCAAAGAGAATTTGATTCTTTCAGACTGAATGAGATGAGCAATTTAGAGGCAAGCACCAGACAAATCAGATTAGAGAATGAGAAAACTTTAAATGTTTTTCTTTCTGAGCCATAGACCACTTCCCCAAAGCATCCTTCGTATAGAAGATCATCTACTGTAAGATTTATTGGCTTGGTGTAGAAATTGTTTAATTTTTTTATTATTGCAGTTATAAAACTATTGTGGGTGGGTTTTTGGCTCTTGTTGGGAAGACTTGTTTAACTCACTAAACTGCCTCTGTATCAGGAATTTGGAAAAGGTTATGAGCACTGGACCAATGCCATGTGAGGCACTTTCTCAATACTTATAAAATACAGCACTCTTATGGTGTCAAGTTTTTATATGCACTCAGTGAAGGGTTTGAAGTGTGTTTAAAAGGTCTTTATACTTCAGAACTCTAGGGCTATGTCTACACTGCAGGCTTTTTGTGCAAGAACTGTTTTGTGCAAGAGTTCTTGAGCAAAAGGTCTTGCGCAAGAGCATGTTCACACTGCCATGTGCTTTTGCGCAAAAGCATCCATGGCAGTGGGGACACTCTCTTGCACAAGAAAGCTCTAATGGCCATTTTAGCTATAGGGATTTCATGCGAGTGTAGATGCTCTCTTCTGGAAGAGTTTTTGCAGAAGAACTCTTCCGCAAAAGAGTTTTTGTGTGAGAATGCGCCAGTGTAGATGCAGCCCTACAGTATACAAAGACAAAAGGAAGTAGCTTAGGCCATGTCTAGACTGCAGGCTTCTTTCGGAAGAAACTTTTCCGGAAGAGATCTTCTGGAAAAACTTCTTCTGAAAGAGAGCGTCCACACTGCAAAAGCGCATTGAAAAAGCGATCTGCTTTTTTGAAAGATAGCTTCCAGTCAGTGTGGATGCTATCTCGCATTTCAGCTGTGATTACTATGGGTGGAATGGCCACGAGGGCACTGGTGCTTTTTCCTTTTTCCTCTTCTTTCAAAAGAACTCACTCTTCCCTGTCCACACGCGCCTTTTTCCAAAAGAGCTCTTTCGGAAAAAGGCTTCTTCCTCGTAGAAGGAGGATTACCAATATCGGAAAAAACCCTCTGTTCTTTCAATTTTCTTTTGGAAGAATTCAATTGCGGTGTGGACCTAATTGAAGTTTTTTCAGAAAAATGGCCATTTTTCCGAAAAAAAAACTCTGTAGTGTAGTAGACATACCCTTAGTTACGTATTTTAAAAAATTAACAATAACATAATTTGGTGAAGGAATATATTTTTTTACCTCAGGAAGTGTTGGGTTTTTGAGGGTCCTGAGTGATTTTAGTGGAATTTTCTGGTCAATACAGTTTTTCCATAATTTGAGGTATGAACCTAAAAATAGCAAAAAGTGATTTTTCTGTGTAAATCAAGTATATCATTGAATTAAAGTAGTTAATTTTTTTAAAGTCCTTTTCCAGACAGATTTAACAAGGACTGTATTTGTTACTGATGTCTCATGCAAAATCAGAAATTCTGTAGTTCATTCCTCAGTTATTTCAAAAAGCTGTATTATTTGCTATAATCCATCTGCCCATAATTCTAAATGACTGAATATACTTTGTTCAAACCTAGTTTCAAAATTCACTTTGTGAAAAGATCTGCTTTAAAAAGATTCAGAACAATATTGAGGAAGTTATGGGAAAATGAAAAATGGTTTCAAATGAAATAATATTTTCACTAACTACAGTAGTGCTATTATGCACCTAACCATATACCAGAGTTGCACTGTAATTGTTGAATGAGATAATTTCTAACTAAACTATAACTTCACTATCAAAAGATAAGTTCAGAGCACTTTTGGTGATCTATTCACGTTTACATTTCCAAGGCATTCATACCAACCAAGAGAATATACACGGTACTGTGGCTTGTATGTCATTATAAAACTGCAGATTTTTGGAAGGAGACTTTAATTTGCTAGATGGCTTTCATTTGCTGTCCTCATATAGCTTCTTTTATAAGCTCAGCCAGCCTCTGAAAAGCCTACAATGAAAGCAGGATGGTTAATGTTCACATCCTAGCATTAGCTAGTTAGGCAATATGCTAAATCTGCAGTATAATTTCTAAAACTGCTACGACAGGAGCACCCAGCAATCTAAAGGCTTAGTACTTTATTGTAAAGCTTCATATTCTCTATTCATTTTTATATTAATAGTGCACTAAGTGTTTATTTCAGAGGAAGTACTCCCTACTTTCTTAACCTAGTATGTTTTCCCAACATACAAAAACAACAAGAAATGGACTAGTTCTGTTTATTAATCTACAAGAGTATAATCATTTTATTACATGATATCTGTAATCCAGTGGGCATTAATGAAGACAACCGGGAAGATTCTCATAGCTACATCAGCAACACAGAGGGATAAGAGAGAGAGATAATGAGGAAAAAATTGAGGGGGATGTTGTAGAATTCCAAGTCAAGTGCAATACCAGCAAGATACAATTTGACTAAACATAATGTAAAATTCTTTAGGGAGTGATGAAAGGGATGACCAAAGGAGAAGCACAATTAACATCTGCTACACACCTTAATGACTGAAGGAAAGTAAGACCAAAGACATAAAATTCTTGAGGCACTTGAAAGAATGTACATTCAGTGACAAATATAACTGTTATAGCCAAGAAGTTCCTAAATAGCATAGCTGAGTTCCTTAATCATGAAGTAATAGAGAGACTGAATTAAGGAGAGACCGTCTCCAATGTGCTACAGACTACTAAGAGAAACTGAATGCGAGAGTAGTTGGGAAACCTAACACAATCACCTTGAGTTTGTTTAATATGGAATTGATACAAAGAAAACAGCAGAGGAAAAGGAATTAGATTTGAGGATGGCAAATTTTGGGAAATAAGGTATGTGGTCATTGCTCTTACTCAATAAGTAGCTAAATTTGCATTAACTTCAAGGAGAGCTAGATAAGGAATAAGTAATTATGAGAAAGGCAGGTGCATTTTAAGAGACACAAAGGGTACGTTTAGACTACATGCTTCTGACGACAGAGGCATGTAGATTAGGCTACCAGACATAGGAAAATGAAGCGGCGATTTAAATAATCGCCGCTTCATTTAAATTTACATGGCTGCTGCGCTGAGCCGACAAACAGCTCAGCGCGGCAGCCATGTAAATTTAAATGAAGCGGCGATTATTTAAATCGCCGCTTCATTTTACTATGTCTGGTAGCCTAATCTACATGCCTCTGGCGACAGAGGCATGTAGTCTAGACGTACGCTAAGATTCAACCCACTACAATTCTTCTAAATAAGGAGGTTTCAGATGTACTATTCAAACAGTACTTACCAAAACAAACAAATGCCTACTGAAGTGAAAAAGAGGGAGATAACTACACAAGATATATAGTTGGTTAAAACTTGCAGGGAAAATGGAGAAGAACAACAATTACTGCATGAGCAATATTCTTTTCAGAAATTAACAGCAAGTCATATTGCTCTCACCTGATCCATCTGGGCTGGAGAAGACACAGAAAAAGAAGCTCTGACGTAAGAACTAGGAACTGAGCTATCAATGTTAAATGCTCCCCCAGGAACCATTAACACCTAGGAGAAATAGATTAGCCATTTAGTTACAAATGTCTTCTTAAAAATTAAATACTGTACCTCACTGCAGAATAATGGTCTCACAAAGCGGCTTAATCTATTCCTTCATTCCACAAAGGGAAGGCAGACTACAAAAACTTGGACTCAAATCTCACAACAAAAAGAACCTAGTTTTCTATAACTACAGGCAGGTTCTATCCTATTCTTGTATTTTATGGGTATCAGAGCAGTTCTTTAGGTTTCTTTCTGGCTGACAGCAGATGTTTTTTATGTAAAAATGGTCTCTGCAAACTGTTACATAAGAGAAATTAAGTGTGGTTTTATTGAAGGAGGGTTATTAGAATCTGATACTGTATACCTGATCTGCAGTCCTAATGAATGCACAGTTGGAGTTGCATTCAATATCTATTACAATAGAAGTTTATTTAACATTTCCCTCCTACTACATTTTAAGATCAATAGATATTTTTCCTACTTGTTTCTTCAAAGCTTTTTCCATAATCAGCTGTTGTGTGTCAGAAACTCCCTTAATTTTAATCCATAGGAACATGCCAGCAGCAGGAGCATGCCATTCTGCCAGGCCTGGAGAGAGAAAACAGAAAAATCAAACAGATATGCTTTGTCCTTTCTGCAATGGATACCCCAGAGACACAAAAACACAGTGAAATCCTGGTGCCAGTCAAATCAATGGGAATTTTGCCATTGACTTCAAATGAAACCAAGATTTCTCCCTATCAAATTTAACGTTCCCCCGACAAAACGAATACAGATGTAATTCAGTAATACTAAGACTACTTTGCTTTATGGTGTTTCTGAAAATGGATTCTCTAGGTTCTTCGAGTTGGGCAGTCTGTAATTCAACAAGTGTATTAGAGATACGATAGGCTGATTTCTGAAAAAGCAACGAATCACATTGTGTAGTAATCAAACATTCTATTTAAATGCAGCTTCTTTAGTAGCATAGCTACCATAAAGGTTGCTTGAGCTGCATAACGTAGGCATGGTCAGAATTTTTTTCCTTTTTATTTAAAATGTTATGTTTTTCCTCATAAGAAAAGAAGAAGGTTTAGGTAGGACATTAGGAAAAACTTCCTAACTGTCAGGGTGGTTAAACACTGGAATAAATTGCCTAGAGGCTATGGAATTTCCATCTCTGGAGATATTTAACAGCAGGTTAGATAGACATCTATCAGGGATGGTCTAGACGGTATTGGGTCCTGCTGTGAGGGAAGGGAACTGGACTTGATGATCTCTAGAGGTCCCTTCCATTTCTAGTGTTCTATGATTCTATAAGGGCTTGAAGACTAGGAAGGGTGCCTCTACAGAGCAAAGTTACTTTAGAATAACAGCCATTATTCCGAAATACAGGCAGTCCCCGAGTTACTCGGGGGCGCGCTCTTTCGGGTCAGCCGGGATGCAA